ACAACAGTCGGCGATCGCAGCCAAAGCAGCTGTAGCTTCTGCGCAGGCTGCTAAGGCAGCAAGTTCCAGCCTTCCTCACCCTCCAGCTAGCAGCCAATATATCGTACCCAAGAAGACAATAGAGTATGGACCATGGGGCTAATAGCAGAGGGCGCTTCGATCAGGTGAGATGTCCACCAGAGATAAATCACGAAGATTTGTATGGAGGTGGTGCATGGGGCTTATTTAGGAGCATTCAGATAGTTGCAAGAGACTTAATGGATTCCTATAAAACATATCACTGAAATCTAACTTATAACCATTATACATTATTGACTTAACAAGATATTTTTAGATGTGCAAAATTGTGTGCAATTATAAAGGATGCAGTAGACATCAATGACATTGAAATAACTAATTATATGAGGAATACTTTCAATGTCGCCAACTGCTGATTCTTTCAAAACACATATACAGTTTTCGCAACCCTTACATATACAGAATTAGACAAAAAGTTATATTTGTACGTACATGAACAATGCATATGTCAAAGATAACAATAGTAACTAAGATTATTGTTGAAACAGTGCGAATCAAAGCAATTTTTGCAACAATGTGATCCATAGATACTGTCCTCTTGTTGGAGGCAGCAAGCATTTCTGAAAGTTCAGTAAACTTCTACCAGAGTTTAGTCACAACAACCCAGAAGATAACCATCTTCATTGTCGCCATTGTGAGAAATTGAAATGTCAGGAATATCTTCGATATTCCTTTAAATGCTTCAGGAAATTCTGGGTAGACTGCCAAGCAGTATACGCCTGTTCTTATAAAATCCAGTGATTTATCTCTCTTAATAAATTCCAACTAAGTTTATATTTTCTTTCTTTCTCTCATCCTCTTTTACCCGTAGGTGTCGTTTTCTATTTATTTATTTTGATGTATTTGGACAATGGTAGGACTCCTTGGATGAGTGATCAGCCCGACGCAAGGCCTCTACCTATACAAACACAGAAAGACGCGGACAAACATCCATGCCTTGAGTGGGACTCAAACCCACGGTCCCAGCGGCCAGGCGTACGAGGTCCATGCCTCAGACCGCGTGGCCACTGCGGTCGGCCAACTAAGTTTATATGCCAGTTAAAATTAAATTAAATTCTTCGCGTCTCCTCCATGTTCATAACTGTTAACGCATAAATACATATAATGTGGACTTAATAAACACGCTTACTGCATATCTCTACTCGTATACGAAATTTCAGATGTCTAGCTGCAATGGTTCGAAAAAAGAAATTACTTTAACAAACTGAAAGGCAAGTGTGGATTTCTAGCGGCCAACCTATTCAAATTTCACACTTTGCAGAAAATTACTTCAAAAAAATTAGATACATTTGATAACACTACATTCAGTGGCGCTGGAGGCGCGTCAGTATCAGAAGCTTGCACGGCCGCCATATTTGTATTCATATTTGCAGGTTATTAATTGTCTCATGCCATGTTTAATGAAAATCCTGCAATAGATTAAGAAGTTATAAGGGGATCAGCACATGGATGTGATCATACGATATGCCCATCTTCCTTTGCAAGCTGAGAGAAGTGGGCTGAACAGAATTACTTGCGTTGTCTCTCGGCATGACTCTGTTGTCTGTTTTCAGATGATGCTTCGAGGTGTGGCACACAAACCCAGTGCGACTGGCGCGCAAAAACCTTCCAGACAACTACTTTCTCATTAAGTGGTAACAAATGTTTGTGTATAGAATCTGTAACTTTACAAGCACTATGTAGCAATTTAAATTCAGCAATAAATGTGTTCATTGCATTCACTGAAATGTTGTGTTAAGCTGGATATACAGACTAAGGCGAACAATGTTAACAAAATGTTTACACCTATGATTAATTTGTTTACTCAGTTTTAATCTTCAATTAGAAAGTAGTCTTTTTCATTAAATGTTTTGCAGCCAAACTACATTTTCATTTTAGTACGTCGTATATCAATTCATCCAAAGAACAAACGTTAAGTTTAACAGAGCAATAGAGTTGCAGAAATATTTATGGACAGTCATGTCAAAAGATTATAAACATGAAATTAAATGTGTGACTACATTTCTTTACAAAGTACACATTTCTGAAGAGAAATTTTGGTCTGGGCATCGAATATATTTCAACATTTTATACCAACTCTGTAGGTGCGATTGTTGAACTTCCTGCCATCTTGTGCATGTTTCTCAAACTAACAAGAAAGTATCACGCCATCACACGAAGAAAGGTGTTGCACGCTACTTTCACACAACCAAGCTAAATAAAACATAAATTCTATTAAAATACAATAAGAAGTATTAATTTTAAAACACAAGATTCAAAACTATATTTGTCGCGAAATTAAGAATACGTTAAATTCTGAAATGTCTCCTACAATTCAATCCACAAAATGGTATCCCCCGAGATTCCCGTAGAACGTAAATATTCAAATGTGAAAAATTTAAATTTTGCTTGTTGTTGAGTACGCAATTTGGTCACATTTTATAAAGAAATACACGGATTAAATCAGAGAACAAAGTGCTCAGAGCAGATTATTTGGACTTACGAAAGAGTGAGAGGAGGCCAAATAAAACCTTTTGTAGATGATAGGCTATTAAGATGCTTCATAATTTGTACTCCTAGCCTGTGGGAAATAAGATGGGTGGGGCATGTAGCATAAACGAAAGAAATGAGAAATTTTAGTTAGATAACCTCAAGGAAAACACATCGTGCGAGACACATGTAGGTGGGGAAAATATAATATTAAAATGAATCTCAAATTAACAGAGTGTGAAGTGTGGTTTGAATTTATCTGGCTCAGAAGGAACTAGAAGTGGACTGTTTTAAACATAGTAACCATTCTTCCGGTTCCAACAACAGGGAGTTTCTTGACCAGCTGAGCTACTATTAACTATTCAATTACAATTTTAAACCTACCAAACTACGCGGTGATCCATACCAGTCACTAGGTTGTCTGGTTCACTTGTTAAAAACCGTATTTCTGTTTTAAACTTATATTTGTAGTTGCCCACACTGACATGATAAAACAGACAATGTTGCTAAGGAACCTAAACATTCAGCAAAATTGTCATCATTTTGTATTCGGGTATCCGATGAGGGTATCTCAGAACCACGAATAGATTATTACGACTGAGAAGTCTTTCCATATTTTTTCAGCATCTCTACGTTAATTCTCGAAAAAAGTAATCACAGACTTCTGCAACCACTTTAATATTATTTTCAATTCAACTGCAGAAAATATTTTAATATGAATCTCTCATTCCTCACATGTAACAAAGTAAGGTTAACACGCCAAGAACAAAAAATAAATAAACATCATCACCACAGAAGTATAATTTTATCTAATTCACACCCACAGTTCCTAATCCCCATTTCACATTTGTATTATTATCATAATACGTCCACTGTTTGTCTCGTAAATTCGATTTTTATCTTTAGGTGCAAAACTGAAGTTCTTAATCAGAGCCCATCCGGTCTATCTATTTTGGTCCATCAGAAGATAAGTGATAAGCAGGGTTCTGATGTTCATGACATGTCATATTTTTATTGGGGCTTTTATTTTGATTCTAAACTGAAATTAAACACTAACTGGGTTATTGTAATCAAATTATGCTGTTTTTATTTTGCATATAAATGCATATTTAGGTCATTTTCATGTTTTTGGTCATATTTGTAGTTAAATACTTATTTTGTTTATATTTTGAGGATAAAATTCATATTTTGGTTATATTTTGAGAATAAAATTCATATTTCGGTTATATTTTGAGGATAAAATTCATATTTTGGCTATGTTTTGAGGATAAAATAGATGGAACAATTATGTTCTGTAAACTTTGTGAAGTTTAAGTTACAGCTGGTAAGGGATTTAATGTGCAACAACATTGTGATACAGTAAAGCATAAAAATAAATTGAGCCGACAAACCAGTCATGAAAGCGAGCAACGACTGCTGTTCGATAACACTGCAACAACTTCACCATCAAACAAAACGTCGGAATTTTCAAAGGACCTGTGTGAAATGATGGCGTCTGCCAACTGAACAAAGTGAACAATGAGCAGTTCAAATTTTTATTGGAGAAATACATGACTCAGTTAATTCGAGACGAATCAACACTACGAAAAAACTGTGCCTGCCTGTTACGTCGTTATTGGCACTCTCTTTGCTGACCGCCCTGACGACTTATTCCTTCTTGATACAGTAAACCGCTCCTCTATCGCTGTAATTTTCGATAACGCCACGAAACGTTTGTGATGTCTCAAGTTACAAGACCATATTGTGCGACAATCTAAGAAGATTTTCATTTGAGACCTTGAAAATGCACATCGTCATATATCGTAATGCTGCCAAGAAAGGAGAATGAAGAAATTTACGTAATATTTTTAATTTTGTTTATTTATTTAATTGTAATTAATGAATTTGAAATGCATGAAAGGCTCTTTATTAAAATTTATCTTATTTTTATAGGAACACGTATTCTCAACATCTGATGCTGATCCAAAACGTGGTATTTACAACTTAAAGTGACTGAGGTTTTTGATTAAAATTGCTAGGAATGTAATGTACTATAGTTGTACATGCATATGTAAATAGATAACATGATTGAAATACAAAACGCTTTTCTTAAATGTTAGCGAATATTTTTTCATAACAAATTAGGTCATATTTCGCTATTTTGGGGGCATATTTGCATGCATATTTCTCGTTTTTTTAGGTCATGAACATCCGAACCCTAGTGATAAGTGTCTTGCACCATCTGTGGAAGGATTTTAGCAACATAAATAGTTTTCAGAAGATGGCTTTCAGATAACAAGAGCATAGAAAGAATGATTAAACATAACAACCACTGGACAAGTTTGTAACATCTTTATATTTATAAAGAATTTCATATCTTCAATCTCGATTAACTCGATTAATGTGCAGAGTCGACACTCATGACGTCAGCTTTAAATATCTGCACGACTTGTTTGTTTATACCTTACAACTTGTTAATACAAATGTCACTGGAAGAAAGTGAAGTTGCGTGAACAATGACCTTACATAGTTGACCCTTAAGACAACTGGACATACAATTCATACAAAATGTAAATCCTCTGGTCATTTCACTTCCTGACTTGTTGAGGAGATTGACGATTAAGAGAGTAGTAAAGGGGAAAGTGGCCAATAAGTTAACATCAGACAAGTTCAGATTCAAGCGGAGAAAGTAACTTACATGGCGGCAGAACACACGAGAATTAGAATAATCAGTTTCGCCAGACCGGATCTTTCTTGGGGAATCTTGTTTGAAGCAATTCATTAGCTAAATGCTTCTGGTTCGGCGACCAGGTCAGAAGAAAGCATGGGATCAGGAACAGGTTTTTGGTATGAAATGAAAAGCAGAGCAAAACTAAGTTGTGAATCACTGACGGGCGTTTTATGCTTTCTTTGCACTGTGCATACCACCAAAACACGCGCGCGCATTCATTATATAAGTTTAGTATTTTATGACGTCAGTATTTTATGTTGGGCACCAATCTTTTGTACACGAGTACCCCCTCCCCCATCTCAAATCGTTAAGTTTAATATCAGCGTCATCTGAAAATCCGATAAGAATCTTTAATAAACTCTGACGTCAGTATTTAGTATAGGTCCGTTATACCAAATTTCAATGTAATTTATCCAACGGTTTCCGAAATAAATCATGCTTCCATGTGGTGAACACTAAATATAGTTTCTTACTATCCTGTGAGTTATTTGCAGTGACGGCTTGGAAGCAATATTCACATCAGGACATCAGTTTCGTGGACACTAATTATAAGATTACATATAAAATAGTTATTTCTAGGCGATCAAATGCGTCAAAACAGCACTGTCAATTCGCCGCGACTAGCCTTTACGTAGGAAAGTATAAAATGCCTTGGAGTAGGATTTCTGTACTGGATAGTAATGCAAAATATGGAATAATGAGTAAGGTCAGTCTGTCAGCCAATCAACTGATCAGGCATAAATGTAATGTTACGAAAGTACTTTAAATTTTGTTACTTAAAAGTATCAACTCCTGCCCTTAAATGTAGAGAAACGGGGGATATTTATTGTTGTATTTGGGAGGGATAGAATATCCTTCAGTCATTCAATGTATGATCTTGAAGTTTTATATGAGAACAGAGCTCAGATAATAGCCAAATGAAACTTAATTACAGCTTTTTTAAGTAAGAAAGCTACTTATTGAGTAACACTGTGGCAGGGCGAAATATTTTGGCAATATAATTGCAGAAAAATTAAAATAACCTGAAAAGTTAATATTCCCATTACAAGTCGTACTGTGTCCTACAAGACAGAATTCTACGAAGTCATAAAATACGACACCAAAGTCGAAAGCTTTAACAGTCGTATTTATTTATTCAATTGTGATGCCGAACAGGTATTATCCTTCACATACGAACTTGGAATGGTCAGCCAGTAGTTTGATACACAAAAGAAGTAAACAAAAGAATGGACAAAGGTGAAGAGTGAAAGTGAGCAAACAAATAAACATAACGACTTAAAAAAGCATATACAACTCACCAGGCTGGGCTAAAAACAATTTTAAAAACATTTCTGAAAATCGCTTTGGAATTTTAACTTTTAACCGACTTTACTGAATTATAAAAGTTTTATATGTAATTTTATCATTATTCTTGGACATCGGGAAGGAGATACATTGTGAAATGACAAAGAAACAGGGAAACGAACCTGATGATGGCCACACTGGTTCGAAACATGTTCAAGAGAACGAAAAGCAAACATTGTGTGTCAAAAAAATGACGCGTAGACAACCCAAGAAATCAACATAACATGTCGGGATGGTAAACTACAAACTGAAAACAAAAGAAAGACAATTAAATGAAAATAAAGGGAAATGAAAAGAAATCAGGGACGAATAGAGAAGCGAATACATTAAATAAGTAAACAAAACGCGCCTGGATAGCCTACAATGAATTGACTGCCAAACTACATTATTCACGAAACCGCTCAGAGACGAATCGCTAGAGTATTCGCCAACTTTTCCCCTCAGAAAGCAAAGACTTTCTCATTGGAGACAACACCACTTCGGAGTAACTGCCAAATTCTTAAACGACGTTCCTTCATAAGTTTTATTCTCTTCCTATTTTGTCCAAACATTTAACCTCTTCCAACACCTGCAATTTATATCAAGGACTTTAATATTTCAATAAGTACGTGTAGATTCGATGGTAACGGTTCTTGAATTGATTAATAAACAAAGACGGCTGTCTTCTGGAAACTTGCACCGTGTTTTCTGATAGAACTTTACCAAAGTTTCAGAAGAGCTTACTACCTGAATTATCAGGGCCATCAACAGTCTCTGATGATGGACGCAGCAAGGACCTCTGAAGCGTTGGTAAACTTCTACCAGACTACACGGCGCAACAACCCAGAAGACAGCCATCTTTGAACTCACCGCCGTGTAAACCTCAAATCCTACATGTTTTAATTTATATCCATACGAGACGCCACGTCTAGTTACAGAACCTCAAAATAAAACCAAGAATATCGTAGCACGACAATGTCCTTCACCTTCAGTATTAAAATCAGTATACTGGGTTTGAAATCCGGTTGAATGTTCCTCAGCATTTGTTAGTATATGATTTATGACATTTCTTCCTCATTCCGTTTGGGCAAGCCATTCACATCCGTCTCCATACCTTCCGGTGGCAACAGCATAAGGAGAACACTAATTAGGATAAACAGTTTAGGTGTGAGGCACGCGAAGCCCTGGGCCTTCACCTACCTCATTTTCCCTTAGTAGTTTGGCTTACACATGTAATTTTATCTGAATCCGACAACAGTGAGGATAGAATTGCGAAAGTTTCCGATAAATACCTGTGTAGAACAAATACTAATTTCTTAAATACCTTCCATAACATGAGTTACTTGTTAATAAACTAATTTTGTGCTGATCTATCACATTACCATCCTTATTTTAATGTTTTTTGAGTAATTGGCAAATGTTAACAATGGCGTACTTGTCAAATTTAAACAAAAGTAATGATGTAATTTATTAATATTCGTATTAGATTTATTTGCCTGGAGATGATTGGTATTATTAATTTAAATACTTCGTAACTGTTGTGAGGGACAACAAACGGGCGAAAAAGATAAAACAGTCGCTTTTGAATTTTGAAAGCAGCAATATTGTTTAGTGATTAGGGCTAGTGTACCTTGTTTAGTGTCATGTCTGGTGTTAATTGGGATCGTGATTTGGGTAAAATATGCATTAGGTGTGTTTAAAAGAAACTCTGCCAAGATCTGAAAATTGTAGGTAACAATCTCTAGGGTATTAATTAAATTTCGGTGTTCACAACCAGAAATGTTCTTACCCGCCGGCCCCATACTAGTTCAACATGAGAGTACCAATGTTTTGAAATATAAAAAAGTAAATTAGAATTGTATGACCTGAAGCTTTCACGGCGACTAAGTATAATTAAATCTTCTCGGGCTACCAGTCGTGTCAGATGGTTTAACGGAGAAAATACCATCTTCATCTTCGTCCTCAGGGTTCAGACAGTACCCTGAGAACTAGGATGAAGATGGTTATCGAAACGTCGGTGTTTTCTTCATTAAACCACCTTTTGAGAATGATTTTGGTTGAATTATTCCGTACTAAAAAGACATCTTTTTTATATCGCAGACTGTGAGATACACATAACAATTAATTGCGGTTGGTTGAGAATAAAATACACCCTTATTAATTCTCTCAGATCTGAAACGGCATTTGGTCTTAGTAAGAAACTAACAAAGAAATTTTCATTAACATCTTTGATTAAGAACCTTACTGTAAACGGTCTGAGACTATCCCAGGAAGCGACCAGTTACGTAGACAGAAGGAAACTAAAAATATCACGGAAAGCAATTCTACGGCCCAGTCTGTCGTCAAATCTTCAGGAGTCGTTGACACTGCGGTACGTGACGTCATCAACGGCTCTCAAGGACAATATGGTCATTGTCACTCGTCTTGTTCCACGTCCCACGGCTCGACGCGTCACATGAGGCAGGTAAGAATGAAATTCGTCAAGTTCTTACTGTGGGATCCGTAAATTACATCACGTCCACTCTGCTACCCGAGTCTGCTCATGGCTGATTTGTCAAGATCTGAAAAGGAGGGTTCAACCACCTGGATTCCAAAGCCTCAGAAACTTTGGTTCCCCAGTGATTTGAGTTGAAGTTCGTCTCTTTCTGTTTTACCAAAAATGCGAACAGTCACCTTTTGTTTTGCTGTTCTGACTTTCGACAGGCATCGAAAGGTCCTTCAAGGATCAACTGAAGCCTAGATTACTTTAAGAGAATGTAATGCAGTGTAGTGTTAGACGTTTAAGGACGTTTCAAAAGTGATTGCTATCTGAATTGAATTATTATAAGTTTGTGACCTCAAAAATTCGTATTTCGTGTCTACAGGCCATAATATCTAGAGTTCAATATGATCTACCTCAATGTCAAATTTCATACCACTACTTAAAATTAATTTGTTACAGCTCTGTAATTGAAACTAACTCCATGCTGTTAATCATTCAGAAAGTCAATAAATCCCTTGTTTGTTTATGAAAAACGTCACTGGAGCGTATATTCAGCCAGATTAATCCAATTGACATCCTAGCATCCCGTCTCAGTTAGATCCATTTTAATATTATCTTCCATCATTATTTAAGTCTTCGAGTGGTCTCATCCCTCAAGGCTTCCCAAAGGAAATTTTATCACTTTCCTCGTCTGTCGTATGAGCGCTACCCATCTCATTCTTCTTTAATTGGTCATCTTTAGACTTAGGATATGCGGTGAAGAGGCAAATTATGCATCTCCTGTTCACGCAGTTTTTTTCCAGTTTCCTCGCTCTTAGCTCTCAAAGATCCAAATATTTTCCTTAACATCCTGTTCTCAAGCACACCCAATACGTGTTCTTCCTTTAACGTGAAAGAACATGTTTCACGTCCACAGAAAAAAAAATAGTTCATTTAACGACGCTTTCCGTATCTAGACTAGCGTCGGATAACAGTGAGAAATAAATTAGAGAGGTCGTGGCCTTGATTAAAGCACTATCCTGGCATTAGCAGAGGAAAATCATTAAAACTTCAGTCAAGCTAGCCGGTCTCCAGACCAAGATTTGAACCTAGGACCTCCTTAATACGAAGCAGGAGATCTGACCATTCAACTACGACGTTCGGTTACAACATGTATAATATTACTAAAATTAATGTTTGATATAAGTTTATTTTTATAACGAACGTGACGACAAAAGATTCTAAACTGTATGGTAGCAAGCATTCCCCGAATTTACTAATGCCTTTCTTAATGCAGTTTTGATTTCTTTATAATAATTTGAACGTTGTCGCATTTTATAAAAAATCTATTAACTACTTTTATGTTATGATTTTATCTTGTAGTCTGGTGACAAGATTTGAACAAGGCCTATACTTAATTCTGTGTGTTAACCCCTAGTCCAACTTCTTTACTAGAATTATAAAAGGGTTTTGTGTTTCTTTTTAAAAGACGCGTGAATTGGAAACCATATAATGCGAGACGGGACAATATTTTCTACCACCGAGGAATACTGATATAAAAAGGGGCAAACAACCTCAAAAATATATATATATATATTTGTATTAAAGTACAGAATAGGAGAGTGAAATCATCCTTCCGTCTATGCCTAGATCTAGTAAGTTTTCACATCCATTCATTTCTTGATTATCTGCCCCCATGCATTCTACAGTACCCAGGACCAAGGATAGCGCTTCGCCTACGTCATTAGACTGCGGGTAGAAGGAAAACATGTAAACCAAATACATTTCCAACACATTAAATGAGACGACGAGAAAAAAATACAACCGCCGGAAAGAATGTTTGTGGTACTGACAGTACAGAATTTCCCAAAAAAGATGTATACGTGCATTCAATAAATTAAATAAAGACTTTTAATAAACTAAACCATTACATACGTCAGCATTGGTACTCAGAGAATTAGCGAATCTGGTGTAGGTGTTCAAAATTACCATCATCAGCTATGAGGCGTAGTTGGCAAGAGGACATAAAAGTTGCTGTTAGAACTAATGACCGTTCAATTTCTTTTCGGGGCTTTTATCGTTTTAAGAAGTTGACTGTCTTCTGGGTTGTAGTGCCATGTAGTCTGGTAAAAGTTTACCAACATTTCAGAGGTGCTTACTGCCTCCACCATCAGTGAAACTAAATTACGTCATTAACCTAAAGATATACCGAGGTTTTCCCAGGCCTTTACTCTGAATTAATAGGTCTGCGCCCAACGCAAACGGCCGCGATGTACGTACGCACAAATTCTTGTGTTAAACAGTAAGGTAAATTATACCCAGTTAAAACAAAATCCAATCTGGAGTGTTTCTACTAAATGGTTATCAAACATAAGGGCACTATATCTACGAAGCAACTGAGACAGGCGAGCGACATCTAAGAAAAGTCATCTTCAACGTAACTTGAGTTTGTAGTCAAATATCAGATGCAGATTAGCTCATGGGTTAGCACGCTGGGCTGGTGGTAATGAGATCGAATGCAGCTCCAGTATGACATTCCTTTCATTCTTAGCAATTATAAACATCTAACAACCTGAACTGCATTTTAGATGATACAGAACTATTATCATATGCAAGACGTAATGGTGGAGGCAGACGCGGTACAGTGTTAAAGGAGCGGCTTCTGGCGGAGAAGCATTTGAAACCGCACTCAGTGAAAGTGTAGCTTTCAGGTAAGAATGAGTTAAAACCTGCCTGATATAAAGAAGCTCAACATACTCCATTGCTAGACATTCCATCTGCTGAAGTTCCCGGACAAACACAAGTTTTGCAGTTATGAAGTTTCCGGTAAGTAGATCTACATCTTCAAATTTCGATACTCTATTATTTTTATGAGATATTCAAAATTTTAATCAGAATATGATTTAAAATGTAAATACAAGGCCGATATTAAAACAAACGCATATATATAAGGATCGCTGTTTCAAATCCTGTCAGAGGCATTTTTATCTGGCCCAATTTTAATTTCTTGTGTTGTCAGAAGTAGCGGACTTCACCAGCGTGCCTAACACCAATGTAAAAGTTCTTAACAATTGAATATCGGGACAATTCAACGAAATCTTCGCTGACATAAGAGTAAATATTTTAGTAAATCAATAACTCCGTATTGTGATGTAATCCACGGGATCCTTCAGTTTGGACAAATGGCATCTTCTTCATTATTTATTTTAACAATGCTTACAATTCTTTACACTATATAACGTCCAATAATTAACAAACGTCGTGGAGCAGAGACTTTATTGTAAAACTAACAGTATGTTTAACTAGTCAATAAATCCTCTGCCGAAGGTTCATTACCATGTTTACAAGAGTCCGCCACCTACACGTATCGTGAGTCAGATTAATCTAGTGCACAATATCCTAATTTTCCAAAATCCAATTTTAATATTATTATCCCATCTACGTCTAGGTCTTCCAAGTGGTCTACTATCCTCTGAATTTCCAACCGAAATTTTTAAACAACTCATCGGAGATCCTTACGCCTCCGATCATCATTTTTAATTTAACTGAAATAACAGGTTTAATATTTGTTCTTACAGGTCTGTATGGTAACAGTTCTCGCACTGGCAACTTTAGCCACTGCTGAAGACCTACAAGATATTGAAGAAAAGAAACAAGATAAACGTGGGATTGCAGACAGCTATAGGACCAACGAACATGGCAGCGGATTCGAGACGTACGGCCATGGTGTGGAAATCAGCAAACCAGTAGCAATTCCCGTCCTGATTCGAGTGCCTCATCCTGTACCTGTAGCCGTCCCTGTACCTCAGGCCGTACCTGTACACATCCAGGTACCCGTTCATGTTCCTGTGATCAAGCCAGTGGCAGTCCCTGTGGACAGGCCGATACATATCCCTGTAGACAGGCCCGTAGCTGTCCCTGTGGACAGGCCCATACCTGTCCCAGTGGACAGGCCGATAGCTGTACCTGTGGACAGGCTCGTACATGTCCCTGTGGACAGACCCGTACCTGTCCCTGTGGAGAAACCAGTGCCGTACCCTGTGCACGTACCTGTCTACAAACACATACACCATTACCCTAAGACATATTATCGTCATGGTTGGCATCATTGAAACATTCCAGCAGGTAAGTTTCCAAGGTTTATGTTGTTGTTTTTTCAAATTGTTCACTGTCTGACGTGTATTTGATGTACATGACGTTAAGTATATTGACTCTGTTTCTGTCTTCAGAGATTGGTTGTCATACCAACAGATATTTTGTTATGTTTACTTTAAGATCAGTTGTGAGGGTTGTAATCGAGCCTGGGACTCAAACCATAGGGGCTTATAATGGCAATCGATCTCTCGTAAAAACAAGAGTATAGCCTTCTTCTGGAATGTGATGCCCAGACTAGGTATAAATACACCTTAGACAATAGACAATCTCCAACGGCATACGAGTCAGCTAGTCACAGAATTTCAGACAATAATTGATTCAAGGTCTATATTATCATTACAATCAGATAAAAAGCCTGGTCTTTGCTTAATTAAAAATATTAACAGAGTTCCAAAGATATGTTGATATAACGACTATCTTCTGCTGTCATTATTTGGTAATTTTTATCTTTAATTCTTCCTAAAATGTTGTTTCCGAGATTGCTGACCTCTTCTGGCTTAGACAGTTTTAAAGAATCCACTTCTGATGCAATAATGTGATACTCAATACAAGAGCGAAGTTGGGTGACTGATATCATCATCACCATCAAAGGACTTCGGTCGTTCTGCCACCAACTCTCTCTGTATACTGTCAATATATGCCACGTAGAGACAGAAACCACAAACTAAGTTTGCTAAATCATTATTATCATCATCAAGTGTAAGATTCAGGCATTTTGACCTGTTCCGATCGCTGGGTTAGTAGATTCAGCTCTTCGACTACCAACTTCTCTCTTCAGGAATTCGATACGTTGGCATTCTTAAAATATGTTCTAAGTAGCTCCTTGGGTATTATTTTACTTATCTTATAGGCTGAATATATGTAATTGTTTCAATAAAAAAATTTAAGGTTTCTAAATCAGTGTGCAATTTCTGTTGCAGTTCTTCAAGGAATTTTGAAAATTGTCGCTGTTGTTTCCACCTGGCGCTGTTGTGTGAACACTCACTTTGCCTTCAGCACGACAGTAGTCAGATGAGAGTAAAGTGTTGGCCAATAAATCTCCCATTTGAACACTATCACTCATATTAACATTAACTTGGTTGTGAACATCAGTTAATTTTAATTCGTATCCTACAGAGCTTATATAGGCCTATTGTATCCGTCTCAAAACAATGACTGTTGCATTTATGGAATATTCTTCGTTCATTTAAAACTCTGACTAGCGCAGTGTCAAGATTATCTGTGGTCCAAACACACATGAATCAACGAGATTCCTACATAGAAATGGCGCCATCGCCGAAAGACTTATTTAGCGATCTTGCGGTACATCAAATAAACTGTTTTCTCAACATCAACAACATGTGAATCTTTTTTTTATATCTATGAGTTTACCAGAATTGTAAACGACAAAGGGATACGAGAACTGAACACACCGACGGATGAACGAATAAGTTTTATTCTCTTCCCCTTGTCTAAATTGAAGTTCGTGCGCTCCATAACCACTGAGAACTTGAAGTCTGTAATGAATATTAAAAGTGACTAATAAGCTAGCAACTTCCACATTCGTAACCTCTTAACCACATACTTTAAATACAAAATGTTGTATCTACAAGATTTATCATTACAAAATTAATTTTCAGATACTCTTATAGGAAATGCACATAATCAAAAATATAACTTACGTAAAACTTTGTTTTGAGAGATGAATATTTGTGTTAAGTGCACTTGTTACATTTTACCAACACGTTTCATAGCTTAAAATCGCATTCTGTTATGTTCAATATACGCTATAATTAAAGAATATTTCTTCGACTGCGAACAGATGACTATTTACAAGTTTCAGGATATAAACCAATAGGTCATACGTCAGAACTGGTTATAGATATCTTGCACGGTAAAGGAAAAAAACATGTCGATACGTATCGAGTAGTGCCAGTAAGCGATTACGATATCTTGCTAGTCGTGACAATAATTCTCTACTCAGTGCATCGGTATAGAACCCAACGCTGTCTGATATCACGTTCGTTGTGAGAACTAATCATAACCAAGCATATCGATTACTGTTCGCAAGGTTATTCGATACTTCGTCTAAGAAGTCGATATGCATGAAACGAACGTAGAAAAATATATTTGTATGACACTTTTTCGTAAAGCATTACAAGTAATTTAAAATACAGACCACAGAAAATACTGACATTTTAAATCAAAGGTACTGGGCGGTGCTGAAACTGCGTTTAAGAAAACAGAAAACGTCCATTTTAACCAGCTCAATGTAAGATCCCTTACCGTCATTCAAAACGAGTTTTGACTGATCACAATGTTACTTTTTTTCGTAATTTACGAATTGTTGTCTTGTTTTATATGTTATCTTTGTAATGAATTATTATAATAAAAGTTTTTTGTGCTTTATTAGTTTCCAGTCGTTTATTTGCAGCTACAGAAACCCAGCAAACCTGAAATGATTCCGCTGATACCCCCCCCCCCAACATTGTTTTCCGCTTCTCCTTATGTACATAGTTGAAATAAACTAGTTAGCTTCACGCTCCGGCCACTTTACACACAGTAAAGATTCTGATATCCATTATAAACATAATTTATTTCCGTATTCAACGGTTATTTTGATAAAAGGCTAAACACACCCTGTGAATTATATTTCAAACACCTTACACAGAATAAATAATTTCTTATCCCTCGTCCGTAACAGTTTAAAAATGAAGAAAAATCTTCAGTAATCGTTTTCGGTGGACTAGTGATACTGTGCTCGCCATTGGACCCAAGGTTCCCGGGTTCAAACCCGGCCGAGTTCGATGGACTCTTAATGGTGATACAAATCCGTAGCACAACTTCAGTTCCTTCGGAGGGTAAGTAAAGCCGGCGGTCCCATGTCGTAGATTAGGCAATGTAAAGAACATTACGAGCATGAACGAGATGTTTCGATCATTTCTCACCCATGTCTCTTCTGATTCCCTATAGATGGCAGACTAATCAGGATTGAATAGAAATTGTGTAGGCAAAGGCCTAAGCTCGGGCTGTAGTGCCATTGGATGGATGGATTCGTTTAAAATTTTGCAATAACGAGTCGTTTTGTGAAAAATAAAACTTTACAAAACCCTCAAAAAAATTATTTAATTAGCAGATGAATTTAATCATACCCAGCATTAGATCCCTGCAGCCTTGAAAGAAATTGATGATGTGCGCAGGGGATTAGAATTTACGCATGTTAGCAACGTTACATATTGTCCACTGTTGGCGAAACCGGTATACTACATTTCGGAAAATGTTTCTGCTGCCGTCTTCATGAGTTTTTATTATGGACCTATTCATACGCACTGCTATTTTGTTACTCTAGATCATATCTTGTTTCGCTACCCATTGTTTTTATTTTGTAAATTATACTCATATTTCTGATATACAGCACACACTCATTGTTCGTGGGGGTTGTGTTCTTAAAAATCGCCACAAATGGCAATATGATGCATGAAGTTCAGCTCTTTTGAAAAAATGAGGTTAGAAGCACAAAAAATACACAAAACATAATACTTCATACATGTAATTAATTATTAATAGTTTAGACCTTTTGGAGAAATGAGGTTAGGAGCACCAAAACATACAAAACATAATACTTAATATGTATAATTAATTATTATAGACATGAAAACATTACTGTTTTTGTTTACTAGGCTGTTGTCAGCATTCCTAGCTGAAAGTTGTCAGGGTGATTTAACATAAGCAAAAACACCAATTCAAAAAATTGTGAAATGTAATAAAATTATGAAGTACACTGAACATGATGCAGTATCTATGTAGTTACTGATACATACTGACAGATATGGGCTGTTGTGTTTTACTTTGTGTGCCAGCACAAGGGCAACAGCAAAAGATTGAGGGACCTACACCACAGTGCACAAATATTAACACAATAAATTTTCTGTGTATAAATAAAATTGTGATGTGTAAACCTATGAATGAAGCAGGTTTGCTACAGTACATATTTTACAAGTAATATTTTTATTTCCTGTCTGTTAGACATGTGAGTGTTTCTTGTATTATTAAAGAAGTCTGATAAGTGATGGTCTAAGGTCAAGTAGCTGAAGTTGTAATATTTAAAAATGTAGGATTAATGTCCCTTTGCATCTTAGCAGTAAAATCATTTTGCATTAAATATGATATATTTAACAGTGTCTGTAGTCAGCATGTTTACTTTGAGAATGAAAATATATTCCATGTCAGATACAATTATCAGAACTGGGAAGCTATATCGCTACGATTCTTACAAATTACACTTATTTAAATTAAACTTACACAAGATTCTGTAACAAGTCTGCCAAAAATTGTATTGCAGAGAATTAAAGAAATATTTCCATCTCTGAATGAGACCTTGGTTAGTGTTGCATGTATGTACAGAAATTAACTTGTACTCTGAATTCACGTGACAAGAATGTGTTTTTTTCATTGGCTATCTTCTGTACTCTATAAGAAGAGAAACACTTTAGAAGGGTTTAGGATATTCATCTTGTGGCTTTCAGTTAGTGTGAAAATGCATAATACAATAATACAGTGAGATTTAGTGGCACCCTGGAGCAACCACCCTTCTAAAGAAATCATGGTGTGTGGATATGCACACCCACATTAAGTAAATTCCTTCTGATGAATGGATTCTGAAGAATCCTTTCTGAAATGTCTCTATAGGATTATACTTTATTGTGAACTGTATGTGTACTAATGATTTCTGTTAGTCTTTAATTCTGTATTAAGACCCATTATGTTAACATTTACTAAATTTTGCATTCATCGCCCTGATGACAGAGGCAGTATGACCTCTGAAACGTCGGTTAACATCGACCAGACTACACAGTGCAACAACCCAGAAGACAGAAATCTTCATCGCCCTGATGACGGAGGCAGTATGACCTCTGAAACGTTGGTAAACATTTACCATACTACATGGCGCAATAACCCAGAAGACAGAAATCTTCATACTCACCGCTGTGAAAACCTCAAATCATACAAATTTTGTAATGTTTTCAACAGTGTCACAATTTGTACATTCTTTCCAGTAAACATCCTTTTCACTACATCAAAGTACTACCTGCCACTGTATTCCTCACTCAGTACCCAAGATATATGAATACTGAAACACTGATGGTGATCTAATAACTTGTAATTTTTCAGTGGTATATCAGCATATGTATTGAAGAATAGGAAATCTTTTCATGTACTTAAAAAACCATTCAGTGACAAAACTGTTGTTAATAACCTGCTGAATGCTGTTTACTCATCGCTGTTAGAATTACAAAAATGAGTCATCAGCCAATGTTCCAAACCATAACCTATACCTCTTAAAAACACTGTTGTTTCCTTGCTAATAAATTTTAACCTTCAGAATTTCTTGACAGCCTCTATTCATTCAGTTACTGATCAAGGCCAAACATTATTGATACTTGTAAATGCTTACTTTGTGTTACATGTTGCTTGTACATACAGATTGTTGAAAGTCTCTTCATGCATACAGTACGAGAGCCCTTATCTGGAAAGCCTGGGAACCAAGGCTTTTAGGATTGTCTTGATTTTGGGTTTTCATCAGTAACTCAACTTTCTGTTTTATACTGAATGACAACTGCTTCCTCTTTTTATTTCTGCATTCCTCAGCTCACTGTCGACTCTTTAGATCAGGGGTCGTCAACCTGGTCCCTACCGCCCACTAGTGGGCGATTCAAGCTTTCATGGTGGGCGGTGTGGGTTTTTGTCCGTTATTACAAATTTTGTTCTTCTTCCATATATCGAATACATTGCTAACAGCTTTGCGAGTTTGACTTTTAAAATATGCTTTTGCAATTTACTTTTGAATTCCATCTCTAAACTTTGAATATATATAATAATTCACCGGACACTTCTCGAAGTATACTCGTGGACGAGGGAGCAATGAATGAGCTCCGTAACCAAAGACACGAGTTTAGTGTGCATAACGACGGCGGGGTTTACCACCGGCCATCACTCAGTCTTCGAGCTGTACCTCTTTCATGGTGGTGGGCAGTAAGGAAATGTTACCATCAACAAAGATACAAAAGTGGGCGGTAGGTATAATAAGGTTGACGACCCCTGCTTTAGATGTTTCAAAGGGTAAGACTAGTAAGTACTATTTAAAAACTGAACTGATAAATCCTGCAGTATTTCCTAAGCACTAACCAAATAAGCACATGCTGCCTTCTACTAGCAGTTAAAAGACTGTCAACAGTAGTACTGGTGTTAAGTCAAATAGCCACAAGTAACAAGTTTTAAACGTGACAAGCACAGTAAATTCCCTAAAATTACTGAGGAGGAATACGGATTTTAGACCCTTTCAGATTTTGGGATGCCAGATATAAGGTCTGAGACTGAATTTATGATGTGGACACATTTTATTTACAGTTCTGTAGCAATAGCAAAAGAAATTTGCACTCTTTCTACAACTGTTTTCTGTATTAAGAATAAAGCAACATTGGGCAGCCTTTTCCACTGCTTATCATGTGTAATATAAATTTCAAGACCTTACTCTTGTGATTGCATGAGAGAACAGAATGTTTAGTTTCTTTGGTCCCTCCAGGGAAGTACTGAGAGATAGTATTCAGTGATATACTACAGGGCCTGAAAATTGAAACATTTAAGTAAAAGTTTAATTATTTCATTTTGAACTTCTCTTCCAGGGATTTTAGATCTGCTGTCACTGAGGCATCGATTTGATGCGAATTAAACCCAGCCTGATGAAAAAATGAACTTTCTTTCAAAAATAGCAGAAACTGAATGAACAAATAAATTTACATCCTGCTACTGAATAAAGAAATATAATCACTGCCAAGTAAAGGTTCAGACCTGGTTCAGAGTAAAAACTAACTTAATAGAATAAAATAGCATTAAAGGTTTTAGTACCGTATCAGATTGGAAACCCAGGTTTGAGTTCAAGGTCTTACAGTTATAAAC